CAATAATATATTCTTGAATCTCAATTATTTAAAAAAAAAAATACTGTAAAAAGGAATAAAAAAAATATTGTAAAAAAAAGAAAGATAGGGACTGATTTGTAGTTTCGTAACCACAGCTTCGCTTCAGAATAAACCCGATGCCTTAAAACGCGGCGTTGCACCTTCCCCGTCCCACTCATTGACTGTTAGGAATCTTTTTTACCCCTTTCCACATTAACACTCCACAGAAGAAGGGAAAATACAGAGAGCTTTTCTCAAAAAGAAAAAAAGAAAAAAAAAAAATCAATGCATATCTTCTTCTGTTAAATCAATCAAATGGCAGCAGCAGCAGCAGCATCGCAATATCCGAAAGAAGGAGAGGGTTCATACAGGATGGAAATGACAATTCAACCCTCAGACAATGACGGAACAAGCACCGAACTCCGTGCACTCGACTGTAACCTCACCTCTCTCTGTGATCACATCCAAATCGAAGGTTTCAATTCAGGTTCTTTCTCCGATATCATCGTCCACGCCATGGGCTCCACCTACCACCTCCATCGCCTCATCCTCTCACGCAGCTCTTACTTCCGGTAATCACTCCCTCACTCACTCACTCACTATTAATTAATTAATTAATCGTCATCGTAGTTACAATTGATTTGATTGATTTTATGATTAGGAATATGTTGCATGGTCCATGGAAAGAAGCGAGCTCGCCTGTTGTTACATTAAAAGTGGATGATAAAAATGTGAATGCGGAAGCGATTGCTATGGCTTTGGCTTATTTGTACGGACATCACCCTAAGCTTAATGATATTAACGCCTTTCGTGTCTTAGCTGCGGCTTCGTTTCTTGACCTTCAGGTAATAATTACAAAGACAAAATTATTTTTTTATTATCATATATACGAGTGACGGTTGCTTTGGTGTGTTTAGTGATTTTGGTTTTGGAGTGGTGCAGGATTTGTGTGCAATTTGTACGGATTTTATTATTTCCGAATTGTGGACTTCGAATTTCTTGGCGTATCAGGTTCGGATTTTATTATTATTTGGTTTGGTTGTTGTGAGATGTGTGTGTAGTTTTTTATTTATTTATTTTGGGTTTTCTCAGGTGTTTGCGGAGAGTCAAGATTATGGAATACATGGGGAACGAGTGAGAAATGCTTGCTGGGGTTACCTTTGTCAAAGTGGTGCGATTGAGTTGAAAGAGGTAAGATTTGATGCTATTGTGTAAATGGGGGGGAATGTGGGGGATGGTCAAATGTGGAACAGATGTTTAGATAATCATCGATGATTGTATTGACATCGTAAGAAGAATAGTGGAAAAATCTGTATCACCAGGGTCGATTTTTTTTAATATGATTCATTTGGAATTAGTGCCGCTTCCTCCCTGGGAAGCAAGATTTTGAATGACAGGTTTGAGTGACTTGTGATGAGCCTTTTCTGATGTTATAGGAGAGTGAAGTGTGTGATGTTGTATTAGTATTATTCTGCTCTCAAGGGAAAGTGAGGACATCGTAATGATTTTTTACACATTTATCATGTTGAAGTTTCAATAGTTATGATTTTGAGTTTTTTTTCCCTTTTAATGAATTCAATGTTTTTGTTCATGTAAGATGTTTATATAAAAAGGTGAAGTTTTTTTTTGAAAATTTAATAAAATTTGTTTGGTTTTTTTTTACACATTTAGATAATGTTTTTTTGAAAATTTAATAAAATTTGTTTGTACTATCTTATGATTTTGTCTGTCGAAACTTTGTTTTGTGTGCTATTTTCTTACAAGTAGACCTGTTTCTTAACATTTTTAATGTAGTGATTTTATTTCTTTGTCCTCTCTGGAAATGATAATTTATGATGTTAAAAGTCTTCATGGCAGCCTAAATTCATTTTCTGAAGATTGTCTGAACTCATATGTGTGTTTTGATATTTTGGTATTTGGTTCTATCACGTTGTTATATGTGCAATTTATAAATTATGGATCCTCCCCATTGTGGTAGGTACTTCCAAAACTTTCCTCTCAAACTCTGCATGCATTACTGACTTCAGATGAACTGTGGGTATCTAGTGAAGAGAAACGGTAAGGGGTAGAGGTAGCTGATAAATCTCGTTTTCTGGACACAGGTTGAGGTTTAATTACATTTGTTAACTGTAAGTTTTTCTTGTTCCATTTCTGTTAAAAAGGTTTGAACTGGCACTGTACACTCTTCTTGCAAAAGGTGCCTTTTGCAAGACTGAACATTCTGAGCAAGGAAGTCCCAGTGCTGAGATGAACCTGGATGTTCATTCTGACTCTTCTAAAGCAAAGGGAAAAAACTTGAGTGATAGCTGCACTAGTAATGCATTGGAATCTGAACTTGGATGCTTAGCTCTAAAAGATGGCCTTGAGGGACATGATGCTGCTCATAATCTTCTGGTTGAGCTTGCTGATGGTGTGGTTGACTTCCAGCCAGGGGTTTCTGTTTCCAAACAACAGTCTGCGTACACTCAATCGAATTTGGGGACACTACATCCATGCAGTATGGGACAATCTTCATCACTGAGCAATTCATTTTCAGTGATGAATGCAAATGGAACCTCATGTTCTTATGTAGAAATGTCAATTGGTGCTGGAACAAGTGGACTAGAATCCAGTGGAGTGGCTATGGAGGGGCCATCTGAAGATGGCTCATACCATTTGAATAATAATAATTGGCTTGAAAGCAACCAATCTAGGAATTGCAATTCTCTGGACCCTTCTGGTAATGGGCTCATTCTCAATGATTGGGAAAGATGTGACATGCCTCAACTTTCATGGGGTGGTAGGGTCGTGGGCAGAAGACAAGTGAAAGGTTATGCTAAAGGGAACTGTGAAGTTCATAGGGAGGATTATGATACTTTCGTCAACATATTTGAAGGGGGTTCTCTTTTGTATTGCAACATGTCTTTTGAGGCACTTTTAAATGTAAGAAAGCAGCTTGAAGAATTGGGTTTTCCTTGCAAAGCTGTGAATGATGGTCTTTGGCTGCAGGTTTGTTCTAACAGCTGTTTGCTTCCAATAGTGTAGATCTTTTTCTATTTCATGAGAATTACATATTTTGCTGTGTATAAAAGATACATGAAAAAGGGAATGGGATATTCCATGCTGCTTATAACACACAGAATCCAGATCATAGGTTTTCAGGCTGGATTGGGGGTATCATCCCCTTGCTTCATGCACAAACCATCTGATTTATCTGTCTTTTTGAATTTGCTCCTTGATTAAATCTTGGAAACTGCCACCAGAGAATAATGTTACCAATATTATGTGTTTTATTCATCTATTGGAAGTTTACGCACCATTTCCCACACCAAGACAACCATTCATTTTTCCACAAACCATGCTGAATTCTTGTTTGTATGTAACATGTAGATGCTTCTGAGCCAGAGGGTGCAGGAAATTGGTGCTGACACGTGTAAAATGTGCTGCCTAATGAGTATGGCATGCACTTGCAGGCAGCCATTTGGGATTTCACATGGAGTTGCCACTACAGGTTATTACATGCAAGAGCATGAGCACCACAATTCTCCTGGGGGTGTGACTAATGTATATGTTGCTGATTCTGGTCAAGGCGAGGGAAATGGCCTCTTTAGGCCAGTACGAGTGCATGTTAGGGGACCTATTGATGGGCTTGCAGGTATTGGGCGCGGAACTACATTTGTGCCAGCAGCTGCATGGCCCCCTACACGTTTTGTGTTTTCTCGTGTGCCATTTGGTATGGGCAACAGAAATTGCCAGCAGTCTGTTGCTAGTGATGATTCGGAGAACAGAACTGATCACAATGGAGACCTATCAGGGGATGGGTTGACAGCTCTTGTTGGGTTAAGTCAAGGGGGGAGCAACTCCACTATTCATGGAGAGCATATGGAAAGAGGATATGAAACAGATTTGCATGGAAGATTGTCGAAAACATCAGTTTCAGCACCGAGCACCAGTGGTATCGCTGTCCAGATGCTAGAATCACCAGAACATGCCATTGGATTTGAGTGGGAGAATGCAAACAACTCCATATCGCTAGATATGAAAACCCCTTTAAGTCATTTCCCTCCATTTCGTTTTGGGTGAGAGTTTATTGCATACTTGTTTTCTTGCATTTCTCAAAATTAGTAATTTTGGATGATGAAAGATGTTACACAGAGAGGCATAGGCGAGCGGACACATTGAATGATGGAATGTCTTTTGGCCATAACCTGTGCTCTGGATATATTTTTTTTCCAATTTCCTCTTCATTTGAGGCTATCAATTGTACACAATAATTGCAAATCACAACCTGATTTCTCAGGATTGTAGTTTGACACTTGGGAGATAATATCTGTGTACTCAAATCATGGTCAGCTTTATCTGCCTGTCTCTAGAACCAGCCATCATGAGTTTGGTCATCCTCTTCATTTGTGCTACAATTCCACCTATGATTTGACTCTCATTTTTTCCCTTGGTCTTTTCATTTAATTGGTGAATGCTTTGTGGAACAAGTTCTTACATATCTTCTGCTGAATTGACACAGGGTTGAATTTGAGGATGTGCACAGGCTCAGTGATGGCCAAGTCAAGCACTCTCCGGAACTCTTTTATGCTGGTTCTCTCTGGAAGGTATTTAAAATATCAGCCATTCACTTGTGAACATCATTTGCTAGTTTTACGAGAGTTCTTCAAATGTTTTTGTAGAGGTTGATCTTTACATGATCTTTTTAATTTTATAGGTTAGTGTTCAAGCCTTTAATGATGAAGATCCTCAAGGACGTCGAACTCTTGGTATTACTCTGTTTACTAAAAACTTTTATGCTGAAAACATGCTATTCTATGCTTATCAGGATAGATGGAAATT